TGTCGGGGCTGTAGTCAAAAATACTGTTACAACCATAGTCAACCTTGACAGGATCTAATTCAGAGAATATCAGTCCCTCATAGCTAACTTCCCTGTGAGGCCTTGTGCAAAAATATCAGTCCCTCATAGGCTAACTTACCTGTCGGGGCTGTAGTAGCAAAATACTGTTACAACCATAGTCAAACCTTGACAGGATCTAATTCAGAGAGTACACAGTGAGGCCTTGTGAATATCAGTCCCTCATAGCTAACTTACCTGTCGGGGCTGTAGTAGCAAAATACTGTTACAACCATAGTCAACCTTGACAGGATCTAATTCAGAGAGTACACGAATGAGGCCTTGTGAATATCAGTCCCTCATAGCTAACTTCCCTGTCGGGGGCTGTAGTAGCAAAATACTGTTTCAACCATAGTCAAACTTGACAGGATCTAATTCAGAGAGTACATGAGTGAGGCCTTGTGAATATCAGTCCCTCATAGCTAACTTGACCTGTCGGGGCTGTAGTCATATTAAAATACTGTTACAACCATAGTCAACCTTGACAGGATCTAATTCAGAGAGTACACGAGTGAGGCCTTGTGGAATATCAGTCCCTCATAGCTAACTTCCCTGTCGGGGCTGTAGTCGCAAAAATACTGTTACAACCATAGTCAACCTTGACAGGATCTAATTCAGAGAGTACACGAGTGAGGCCTTGTGAATATCAGTCCCTCATAGCTAACTTACCTGTCGGGGGCTGTAGTAGCAAAATACTGTTACAACCATAGTCAACCTTGACAGGATCTAATTCAGAGAGTACACAGTCCCTTATAGTGAGGCCTTGTGCAAAAATATCAGTCCCTCATAGCTAACATTACCTGTCGGGGCTGTAGTCGCAAAATACTGTTACAACCATAGTCAAACTTGACAGGATCTAATTCAGAGAGTACACGAGTGAGGCCTTGTGAATATCAGGCCTGTGTGCAAAATATCAGTCCCTCATTCAGACAGGTCTAACAGAGAGTGAGGGCCTTGTGTATATCAGTCCCTCATAGCTAACACCTGTCGGGGCTGTAGTAGCAAAATGCTGTTACAACCATAGTCAACCTTGACAGGATCTAATTCAGAGAGTACACAGTGAGGCCTTGTGAATATCAGTCCCTCATAGCTAACTTCCCTGTCGGGGGCTGTAGTCGCAAAATACTGTTACAACCATAGTCAACCGTGACAGGATCTAATTCAGAGTGTACACGAGTGAGGCCTTGTGAATATCAGTCCCTCATAGCTAACTTCCCTGTCGGGGCTGTAGTCGCAAAATACTGTTACAACCATAGTCAACCTTGACAGGATCTAATTCAGAGAGTACACGAGTGAGGCCTTGTGAATATCAGTCCCTCATAGCTACCTTACCTGTCGGGGCTGTACCTGTTACAACCATAGTCAACCTTGACAGGATCTAATTGTGGTCTTGTGAATATCAGTCCCTCATAGCTACCTTACCTACTGGGGCTGTAGTCGCAAAGTACTGTTACAGCTATAGTCAACCTTGACAGGAAGCCTCAGAGAAAATGGATGAATTACATCCATTTTCAATTTTGGCTGGAGATCAATATGACACTAATATGTTATAAATCGTCGTGAAACTCGTTCTTTGTTGGAAGAGTCGGTGATTCTTCTGGTTTTATAGAATTCTAATAGTGGCGAATTGATTTCTCGTTTCCTTTTAAAGGTTTCCCCAGCAAGAAATTGTTCTCGCAATCTACTGAAAGGGAGAGTTAAGCGGCTGCAAAGTTTCCGTTAGGAGAATGGGTTGGAATATCCACACCAATCGTTTTGATTTTCTGTGATTTTTTATAGAATGTAGTTTTCCTTTGTCATTCCGTCGTCCAATTCGGTGAATATTTGCGTCATTTAAAAAAAAAAAAAAAATTCAATTCCTTCTTGACGAAAGCCTTGATCGTTTTATTTTGAGTACAGACGAAACCTATGATATTCCACCAATCATCCAGCAAAACGTAATCAAGGCAGAGATTCAGCTTATATATATGGAGATGGCATTTTTGATAGCCGACACAAAAAGGAAACTGCGGTAAATGTCCACAACAGATAGTAACTGGAAATGGTAAAGTGAGATTAGCAGTTTCTCTAAAAGGAAAAATTTGGCATTCATTGATCGAACAGTGATGACTGCTTTTCAGCTGAAATTTATAAAATCTTTTAAAACAATTTTGGTTGTATCTGTCTATATTTCTGAGATGAGGTATTATGTACACAATTTACATTATTCGGACTATTGTCCTCATCTTTGTCACCATATTTATTACAACGTTTCAGCACTTCAGTATCTGTCTATATTTCTGAGATGAGGCATTATGTACATTATTTACATTATTCGGACAATTGTTCTCATCTTTGTCGCCATATTTATTACAACGTTTCGGCCCTTCAGTATCTGTCTATATTTCTGAGATGAGGTATTATGTACATTATTTACATTATTCGGACTATTGTCCTCATCTCTGTCGCCATATTTATTACAACGTTTCGGCCCTTCAGTATCTGTCTATATTTCTGAGATGCGGTACATGTACACTATTTACATTATTTAGACTGTTGTCCTCATCTTTATCGCCATATTTATTACAACGTTTCGGCCCTTCAGTATCTGTCTATATTTCTGAGATGAGGTATTATGTACACTATATACATTATTCAGACTATTGTCCTCATCTTTGTCGCCATATTTATTACAACGTTTCGGCCCTTCATTATCTGTCTATATTTCTGAGATGAGGTATCATGTACACTATATACATTATTCAGACTGTTGTCCTCATCTTTGTCGCCATATTTATTACAACGTTTCGGCCCTTCATTATCTGTCTATATTTCTGAGATGAAGTATTATGTACACTATTTACATTATTCGGACAATTGTCCTCATCTTTGTCGCCATATTTATTACAACGTTTCGGCCCTTCAGTATCTGTCTATATTTCTGAGATGAAGTATTATGTACATTATTTACATTATTCAGACTATTGTCCTCATCTTTGTCACCATATTTATTACTAAGTTTCGGCCCTTTAGTATCTGTCTATATTTCTGAGATGAGGTGTTATGTACACTATTTACATTATTCGGACTATTGTCCTCATCTTTGTCGCCATATTTATTACAACGTTTCTTCAGATGGTTGAAATGTCGAACTTAACCCTTCTACCTGGGGTAGACTCTTCTAGTTCCATGTGCCATGTTTAATGGATGTCAGGTATCAGTTATCCCCAGTTATTTCCCCTAGTTAGTTAGATCCAGTGACAGGACACAAACAGTGTGAGTTCAATACCCGGTTAAGGCAGTGGAGAACTTGGAGAAGGGAATTAACAAATATCTCAAAAATGTGGCACATGGGAACATCAACAATTCTTGTTGTAATTGGATCCCTCGGATTGATTGGAAAAGATTCCAACAGACTCATTGAAGGGATTACTGGAAGCCCATGCCTTAAAGAAATACCAAAAAAATTGTTCTCGGGAGTACAGCTCACAACTTACGAAGGGTTTTATCTATGTAAAATATGTGCGCATGTGTTTTATTTCTTTTTTTTTAATGGCTCAGTGGAAAATGTCATGATGCCATTTCTGAGGTTAGGTCTCGAGTACACACCAAAAATCAAAGGAACTGCAATATATCTTTGAAAATATTCAAAAAGCTGTCAAAATACAAGGACCTTGAAATAGAAATCTTGAAAATGTTGCATATGGGGACATCAACAATCACTATTGTAGTTGGAGCCCTAGGACTGGTTGGAAAAGATTGCAGTAGACTAATTGAAGGGATTCCTGGAAGTCCATGCCTCAAGGAGATACAAAAAATTGTTCTGACAAGTACAGCCCACACTTTACGAAGGGCTTTATCTATGTAATATATATATATATTTTTTTTTTGTCAGTGGAAAGTGTCATGATGCCATTTGTAACCTTAAGTCCCTAGGCGGGACCCGGAAAGAAACGTGTAAACGCCAGAAATCAAAGAAAATAATAATAATAATAATAATAATAATAACAACTACAAGTACCCGTGAAAATATCAAGAACTTTCTATTTGCGTTTTTTGATGTAACATAACATTTAATGAAGGAATAAGCTTCTTGGAATTTCCAAGACTTCCAAAATTCCCATATTGCATCGTTAAATATTTGAGTCTACCAACTTTAACAAAAGATTGCAAGAACAATCATAAGTATGGATGCAGGTGATTATTTAAAGAAGTAAGGGGGTACAAATAGAAAGATTCAAAATTGACACGGATTTCCATATCATAAAGAAAGAAAAACAAATGACATCAATTTTTCAATAACAATTTGAATTTTTGGATTGAATACACTCCTTGCCACTTCTACGGCAGCAAATTACTCTTGGAGATTCCCTTATGGCATCATTAAATATTTTAGCTTTTAACAAAACATTGCAATAGCAATCATATGTATGAAAGAAGTTCATTATTTTAAAAAGTAAGAGGGTACAAATGAAAAGATTTAAATTTGATATGTTTTTCTTTCTTCATTTCACAGAAGGAGAGAAACACGAGAGTGTTATCACCTTTCTTTTTTTCTCACTGAAACTAAAATGCATCTTCTTCCCTCACGATCAAAAACAAAATAGTCAATGATTTACGAAGCATTACTAATTAGGTAGCGTCTCTGATATGTCTTTTTCGTCTTTCCGCACGATCGAAACGGAATAGCCCATCATTTATAAGGTCATTTGTAATGATGTGTGGGAATATTAATTTTTTTACGGAAGGAAGGATTATGCATAATACTAGTACTACTGCTAATAATAATAATTTACCTGACACTGCACCAGACAGGGTGCTCTTGGCTTCTGAACTTAATTGACTGGAGGTATTAACTCTTACATACTTTGACTTTCTTAGTTAAATAAAAAAGACGAGGCAGGCAAGACAACTTAGAAAAAAAACGTCTTAATATTTGGCTACTTCCTCAATCACAATTCGGTTTACGGCCACATCAGGTTGAAAACACAGGTTTCCGTACGATCACCGAAGTTAAGCAACGTCGAGCCTAGACACTACTTGGATATATGTCCGCGGAGGTATAGCAGGGGCTGTAAATTTAGATGTGCAAGTGGTGTAATGGATAATGATACAGAATTTTTAATAGTCGAGCCGTGTTCCAATTCCAGTTGGGTTCGTTATATACCCTTGAGAAAGGTATGAATCCGCCTCTTTCCTCCAGGTATGGGTTAATTAGTAAGAGTTGTATCACTAAAACAATTATTATCTAAAAAAAAAAAGGAAAAATAAAGGCGTACCAAATATTTAGATTTCGGCATTAAATAACCCATGCCGCTAAACAAAAACAGAAAACAATCCATCAGAAATCGTCGGAGCAGACTGTTTATCCGAACAGTACACCAACTGCAAGGCTATTCGTGTTTTTTTACCGCAACGTATCACCCTATCGGGGACCTTTAGCTGTCATGATGGGTACATTGGGCTTCGTATATTCGTTTTCTACCGTCACATTATGGGGCATGCTTCTCTGTCCCTCAATAATCATGGCAATAAGGGCCCCAAGGATGATCTTTACCCTTAAGTTTGCAATAGAAGGGGAGGTTGAAATAAAAGAGTATGCTGAAAAATTCATTCAAAAGTAATATGTTTCTGAAACAAAAAATGGGCAGAGAAGACAGGTTGGAAATAAGGAGAACTTAAAAGAAACGTGTGGGGTCTGGAATAATGTTGGGAAAGATGGATATAGCTCAAAATTTTAATAGTCGGGCAGACCTGTCTATTCTGAACGCAAGAGTTGGGGGAATACATGAAGCAGTATTTGGTCTGTAAAAATCAAAAAATAATTTGGGGATATTCTCATCCATGTCGAATTGTCCCCACCCACCTAAAAGCAAGGTCCTGATGAGTAATAATCGTCTATTGGTGAGAACAAACACATTATGAATGAATTCAGTCTTCCACAATGACTCGCTGTAGTAGCCTTGTGCCAGGCTAAACGGCATGCAAATATAGCACAGTCTAGCACAAAGTCATAGAATGAATATTCGGTTAATTTGCAGCTTAGCGCCCGCGTTCAATTCGCATTAAGCATAATTAAATTTATATTTAATTGTACATGCGTCATTCAAATCTGGCTTAAAAAATTTGATAAAATCTACCATTTTATGGTTGTCGACACTAAAAGTTCGGATTCATTCTTGTCGCGGCAGCTATTACTCTCGTTGTTTACATACATTCACTGCGGAACCGCTATGGGTAATAATCACTTATCTTGAATATTGCGCACGCAGTGCACAATTGATCGTGTGTATGTAAATAGTTCTCTTGCGCAATAATTAAGACAAGTCGAGAAAAGTAAGATCAGACCCCCTCCCCCCAAAAAAAACCCCGTTAACTACATTCTTTAGCGTTTAGCTTTCCGCAGCGATTGTATGCAAACAAAGACAGTAATGGCTGCTGCCAACGACGCGCATGAATCCGAACTTTTACTGTCGATAACTCCAAAGCGGTAGATTTTATCAAATTTATCAAGTCAGATTCGAATGAAGCATGTACAATTACACGTAAATGTAAGTACTCTGGAAATTTTTAATGCCAGCTGAACGTGGGTGCTAAACTGCCAATTAACAAAATATCCTTATTAAATAATTCAAAACCCGAGAGAATAAAAAAAAAAAAAAAAAAAAAAAAACTGAATACTTGTTTTGAAGAAAAATTTTAATGAATCTTCTCTAAGACAAGTTCGTTTTTTATTTCCGTTTGTTCCAAAAAATGGCGTTCGTTCTTGAAAGAATCAAGTTCTAGTCTCGTGTTTTTACGAGGGAAACATTAAAAGAAATTACAGATCAAATTCGTTGAAAAAAATCTTGAACATTGAAAAAAGTGCAAAATCTTGAAGAAAATTTTGTTGACGATCAAAGTTAGTAAAAAATCGTTTCCAGGTTGGACTATCTGCTCTTGTGTACCAAATACAAGTGCCAACACATTTAAATTACTTTCCTTCAAACTTGGCCATGCCTCGCACGGTGCTTGGTGTTATTTTTTTTTGTTTTTACAGCGCGCTTATTATATTTAAATAATTTTTTTCCCAGTGCAATTAATTTTGTTCTAGTTTACGAAACTCATACTGTTATTTTTTCAAGGTGGTGCAATTTTTAACAAGCTTGTCTCGCTAGAACTAATTACGACTGAGTAGTGAGTTCGATCCTCAGTGGTAACACCATTATTTTCGGCCTTGTGCCAAATCTAAGCTACACTCAAAAAATCATGACTTTTATTTAAAGGTGAAAATACTTGCAGGTCAGATTGTTCAAGATGACAATTGCATTTGGTACAAAAGAATACCTGGAAATAAACTAAGAAAAAAGTACAGTAATTTAACAGATGCCCATAGCAATTTGTACAGGCTTCAATTTAAGAGCCGAAACCCTTATGTATACTTATTTATTTCTGGAGGAAAGATATATGTCCCAGTGAAGTTTTCGTATGAACGCGTTTCGTTTCTTAGGACTTCATCGGACTGGGATCGTTCAATTTGATGCGACTACGCATGCGCACGAACAATTGACGTTGGCAATTTTAAATTTAGGAAAAAAAAAAAAATTGCGTCCAGACTCTTGAAACGTTTTATAATTCTTGACAGATCTTCTGTTATCACAATGTCCGATATTTCATATCAGATGTGATGGAAACAAAAAGAAAAAGAATCTACATGAGATTGGCTAGATTATAAACCCAAAATACATATTTTAAAAATAAAATCTAAATTTTAAAATTCCCAGCTCTTCCCGTTCGTGCGCATGTGCAGTCGCATCAACATAGACATAATCTTAACTCAATGGTGTCCTAAGAGACGAAACGCTTCGCATGAAAACCTTTTCCACTTTGTCAAACATCTTTCTTCCAGATTGTTCTTGATATATAAAAATATATATATATATATATATATATATATATATATATATATATATATATATATTCTGTTTATAGGTTATTATTTTATAGATATAATTTATTTAAGAAAATGCTCTGTGTTTTTTTTTTTTTAATTAAACCGTATTAATTACATTTACCTGTCTAAATCTTCGAGAAATTTCAGAGAATATATGTGCTTCTCTTACAGGAATCGTATCTCTAAACGTAATGGGAACCTTCATTTGCTCAGACCTGCTGTTAACCATTTAGCCACAAGGAAGCAACTGCTGGACAAAGTCCGAATTACTGTTTATAAACATACACTTTCGACGATTTTCTCGATCGATCATATCTGCTTACGAAACGTACCTTAACGTAAATAATGACAACATATTAAGAATTGGATTAAGTCCGACAATTATTTTAATACATTTTTTGTTTATACGGTATTTTTTTTTTTATAGATATCATTTATTTAAGTAAATGCTCTATTTTTTTTAATTAAAGCGTATTAATTACATTTACCGGCCTAAATCTTCGAGAAAATTCGTAGAAAATATGTGCATCGCCGACGGGAATTGAACGTGTAAGCCTAATGGGAAACTTCATTTGATGTGATTTGCCGTTAACCATTCAGTCACAAAGAAACATCTACTAGTCCGAATTGATATAATTAATACTATTTAGTTAGAAAACAAACAAACAGAGCATTTAATTAAATAAAGTATATCTATAAAAAGACGTATAAAGAAAAAATATATTAAAAAGTAATACTAGGACTTAACTTATTTCATATATATATATATATATATATATATATATATATATATATATAATAAATTAACTGATTTAAAAATATGGTTCATTCGCTACACAGGAATTACCATGTTTCAAAAACCGAAGCTAAAAACTTCAAATTTAATTATATAAAAAATTAAAAGCATTAGTTCTGTTTCATCTACAAGCGAATTTTACTATGATATATATATATATATATATATATATATATATATATATATATATATATATATATAATAGCGATGAAAAAGATCGTGTAAAGCCGGAAATGTTGTCAGTCAGGAGAAATCAAAAGAAAAGGACATTTATGGCAAGCAGTCTTTTTGCAATAAAGTACTCGATATCAGAAATAGAGAATTAATAATTTAATCCTATATATATATATATATATATATATATATATATATATATATATGTGTGTGTGTGTGTCTATGTGTGCGTATGTGTGTGTGTGCGTGTTTGTGCGTCTGTGGGTGTCTTTGGGCGGCAATCTGTCTTTTATACAACTTCCTTGGAAGACAACTTACAAGACACAGCGATTAATCGTTTGATTAAATTTTCTGGCATTCGGAAAAAAGTGTTTTCTTTTTTCTTGACATACGGCGTATAAAAACTGTTGAAATGATCGGTTGGATCTACAAATAATTTGGTCAGTTTTTACTTGTTTTACCAGTAAAAACAAATCACTTGTTCGAATGCAAGAAAAATCTCATAAGAAGCTTAATCATAGTGCTTTATTTCAATGAAACTTATACATACATAGTCCCCCATAAATAAATATATATATATATATAATCGACTCTCCCGTCGAGATTCGACATATGAGGGTCAAGCAGATCATTTTCCAGGAAACCGACAGCCCGACACCGGCACATGAGATTTGATTATAGTGGTGAAGGCCTTTGTGCAGGGCCATCCACACTTTTTGAAGGGACGAATACAGAGAGCTGGTGCACTGAATGCCACAAGGTTCCCAAACGACCCTCCGCAGGTTTTGAATTCAGAGTTGTCCTTCTCCTAGACCAGTTGCCATCCAAGGCTAAAGAACCCAGTCTGTCCTGCTATTTTACCCATGGCTGGAGGGAAAGTAAGATGATTCATACCTTTCCCAAGGGTATTGGCACGTAAGTGAATGTAACGGATTCGACTGGAATTCGAACTCGGCTCTGCGATTCCTCAATCCAAGCCGCTACCCATTACTCCACCATGCCTCATATCTTTTCAAGAAGTGTAAGTGTAAGTGTGTGTGTGTTTTTTTGGTCTGTTGTGTAACAGCAGTGTGTGTGTGTGAATGTGTGTGTGTGTGTGTGTGTGTTATGTTCAGATGTTTTTATCAAAATAAAAGATGAAAAAACCTTTGTGCCTGTGTTTTTGTAGATCCAAC